GTGTGACGACATTTATCCATAGTGTCACAAGCACAATACCATCAATCATGCCCCAGGAGCTGCGCATATATGCGTTTGGTGTCCAAAATAAACCATCCGCAACTGCTTTTATAGCCGCCTCAACTGTGAAAACTGAGGTAAAGGCGAGATCAGTCCAGACATACCAGTTCCACGTGTTTGTACTGTGGTTTTCCCTATACTCTTTCTGGTAAAGTGGTGTTGTAACACAAGCCAAAATTACCATTGCGACAACAACAGCGTATACAAAAGCGGAGAAAGTATACCAGGCTACTTTGTTGGGCTGCACACCATCGAATCTTTCAGGACCTCTCGCAGGGCCAACCAGCTTCTGGCAAAGACGTCGCAGAGGATGTTTCGGTTTGAAAATATACAGCGAATCATTGTATCTTGGGTGCCGAGAGAGGTATTCTCGTTGGGCTTTTCTTCTTGCCGATGTTGCTGAAACCGCTTGCCGAGCCATTTGACGTGGATCGAGAGTATCATTTGGACCATCAAATCGGATATTAGAGTAAAATGGATTCGGGTCTTTGTTCATCAACTTGCTGAGAAGGCGCTTCCATAACTTGGAAATCATGCCTGGGTTGGCATCATTACCAAACAATGCAGTTGCGCTTCTCTGTGGCATGGAGACTGCATTTTCATGCACGGAGTCTGAGGATTCATCGTTTAGGAAGTCCCGTACAACTGCATCTTTGAGAAGCATTTCCATCATCGCTGGCCCATAGTCTAATGGGTCCCGACGTCGGCGAGATTTTCCTAGGCTAAATATTGTCGAGAGTGAGAGATTGCTAGGGTTGTGTCCGAGTTCCTTCCTCTGCAGGAAAGCCTTGACCTGTTCGAGCCGTTTCTCATCTTCTGAGACATCAAAATTCTCTTGAATGACAGCAATGAACATATTGACCAGGATGAAAAAGGAAAGAATGAACCAGCCTATGAGAAACATCGCGCCAATCCAGGCAGTATGAAACTGCTTTGTGTGGGACGTGACGGAATACAAAATTTCGGTCCAATTCTCGCTTGATAGAATCTGGTACATCCCCAGGAATGAATTGTAAATCGTGAAGAATGATATTCTGTTCAGTTCGCCGTTATCCGTACTCTGAGGAATCTGACCACGAAAAAGTTGCGATGCAAAGATTGCAACTAGGAACGTCATCAAGAATACAAAAAGCATCAAATTGGCAATACCAGCAGCGTTTCCAAGTACAAGTAGGATGAGTTTCCGAGTGACAGGAATCGCCAATACAATCCTGTACACTCGAACAATTTGGAACACTGTAAGCCATAAATAAGCCCGAGTGTTTGGAATCGGCGGGATAAGTATAATCGTCGTTACAACCGCTAAAAACAGATCGAAATTGTTACGCCAACTTCGGTAGAATCCACGCCAGTCCGCAGCAAACCTAAGCAAGATTTCAATATCGAGAAAGACGGTTGCAATCACCTCCGCTATGTGGATGAATTGCTCCCGAGAGTGCGACATTTTAGAGCTGCGCAAAGACTGGCAAAGCAATGCAAAAGTAATAAGTAGTATCCAGAAAGCCGTGGTCCGATCATAAATCCGATGTAATCGTGATTTCCAGACCCGTTCCTCTGGTCGAGTGGGCAAAGGCGGCTCATTGTCCGCTGTGAAGGCGCTGGATTTGCTCTCTTCACGGATGACTTGGAACGATGAGGTGATGACTGCAATGAGTAAATTTGTCAGCCATAGTAACATGATCATTATTCCAGCTCCAAAAAACAAAGCGGCTTGTAGGTAGTCGGACGCCATCGTGTGGTACATCAGGTCGGAGAAGGTGTTCGCGCTCATTATGACAAAGACAAGCTCCAGAGAATTGGCAATGTTATCAAAATTAACGGTACCCTCGTACGGGTTTTCTTGCTGAAGGCAAAGGGACCCCCGGGGGCAGATAAATCCCTTGCCATCTCGAGCCCCATTAACCAGGCTTGCTAGCGAATTGGTGCTCCCGAACTTCACCCAAGGCAAGATTTTACCAGTCTGATTATCCAAATGACCTCCACAGAATTGCATATCATTGGTATACGCTGCTGTAATATTCTGAGGGTCGGATGGATCCAACCAAACACATTGCCGCTTCAAGCTAGACTTGAAGCTCTGGATTCCAATGATTGCAAAGAGTAGCCAGAAAAACATGACCAAGAACGCAATTCGAACGAGGAGAGGGGCAGCCTTTTTTAGGCTTCTCAAAATGATCTACATTACAGGCATATTTAGAAAGCTGAGACTGGTCAGGAGGAGTGTGGAAAGGGGCTTACCGCAGTACCGTGGGTCAAAGCCAAAAGCCTCAATATTCGGAGGCAACTGAGCATTTTGAATACATATATGTGGTGCCGGCTTTCGATTCCGGTAATACCCAGTACAAATGCAACCCAAAACGAGACAACCGCCACAAAGTCCAGGCGGTTGAAGGAGTGTCGCAAAAAGGCACGTCGAGCTAGCTGATAGCGCTGCTGCTCTTCAATGGTTGAAGGTAGCGATTGTTGGCTTTGCATCATGGTGGTAAAGGAGCGGGAGAAGGTAGAATGCTGTGGTTCCGTTTGTGAGCCGCTCTTTACGGATTTTTGTCGTTGGGGTCGAAAGGCAGTCCTGTATTGTTCTACAATGGCAGCCCTAATACCCTTTTGGCGATCTATGGTGCTGTACTCAGCAGCATTAAAAAAGAAACCCGAAACAATAATACGGGCAGTAAGCTCCACGGTGAAGACGATGAAGAGTCCAAGCATAATCCAGTCAATGATATGCCTCCCCCATCGGTCTGGGCGCTCATTCCCTGGGACAAATACACTGGGGCCAGATTCTACAGCCAGAAGAATGACCTGCAGAACGATGAGCACAAGTATGAATGGCTCGGTGTATGGGTTGACTAGTAGGCTACACAGCCAGAGCCTAACCCGGCTTTGTGGAGAGAAGATGCCTAACGAGTGGCCTTTGAGGGGATTGGGTGGTCGGCTATAAGGAAGTGAGGGTCGATACTGGCTAACCGCATCCATCTTCTCTGGCGCAAGCTGCGTTGTCTGTGATTGATACGAAGTATCAACAAGCATAGAGACTGCTGGGCTTCTCCCCCGGTCATGTCTAGACGCTCTTGGCGACCGTGATTGGGGTCTTGATGCCCTGTGATCCGGCAGCTCACTCTCTCCACTAATATTTACCACTCGCTGGGACATTGCCCGAACAATCGAACCGGCGCGGAGTAACGCACCTGATGGCGACGTAGATCGAGAAACTCTGTATTCACCAGGGCCTAAAGTGCCACCATAACTGGGTTGTCTCCCTGGTGAAGTTTCGCAAGAAGATTGGACATGATGCCCTAGGTTGTTTGACTGACGGTCTTTGGCTGGGTTACAATCGAAGTCTGACACAGTTTGGAAACTGCTTCGAATGTTAGGATCATGACCATCAACTGGCATGGATCCCGATATTGGTTGTGCTCCGGCGGTGAGGGGCATCCGGTCGGAATCATCGTACTCGGTGCTCGGGGGCTCTTCGATATATGGCGGCCCTACGAAGGTACCGACAGACTGGGAGCCATGGACGCCATGTTGTTCTGAGAGAGATGTCTGAAAGTCGGGCGGAAGGGCGGCTTGCAGAACCGTTGGGTCTATAGGCGAACTAGGACCTGTCCCATTGTCGGATCCGTTCTGCGAGGCATACCAATATGTCGTGTTTGCAGGAATATTATCAGGAACTGCTGGTGAATGTCTATCATCGCTTCGGTCAAATGTAGATTCGTGCTGATGACTGGGTGGCAGCCAGTCAGCTGCATTGCCTCCTGGAGTTAGGAGGAAGTCCTGTAGAGGAATAGAGCGACGACGCCGCGCCTGGCTGCCGTCTGAGGGGTTGGAGGACATGGACCGCGTAACTGGTAGTAGCTCAAACTCGACGTTGATGGAGTAGTCAAAAGTCGAACATCACGATCAACGGATTGCGTGTGTCGAAGCACCAGGAGAAGCCAGAAGCATGATCAACAGCTGTGATCGCGTTAAAAAACGGTAATGAGACTGCCTAGAATTGCGGTGCAGCAACGTTGACGAGCGCTCTTCTTTGCTTGTCGATGATATTGAATCTGCAAGATCGCGTGGTGCGACGAAGTCCAGTGGAAGTGAGAGTTGATGAAGCCAGCTTCGGATCGACACTTTTTACCTTGAACTATCGTCGTCACCCTTTATGAAAGGCACTTCGGCTACTCCGTATTTATCAGAAGGCTCTCTGATATGCAACAATGTTTGTGGGCTGAATGCGAAACACTGACGATGCGAATGATGACACAGTCTCTTGGTGTCTACCCCTGGGACATTTATTATTCCATCTGGCACACGTGCAGCTTCAACTCGGCTGCATTTGATCGTGGCACCATGTTCTTCCTGCAGGTGTGGGGCTCTAGCTTGGGGCCAGTGTGGCGTAGTACCAACATTGATTGAGTAATAAAAGACCCGTGCCTCCGTTAGATAGGATTTATTACTTTCAGCCTTCAACCGCATCAGAAATGGAAGAGAGAACTGCCAAGTGGAATATCTTGTTTGTTTACTTCTTTGAACTAACAACTAAACTCTACGTAATAATGTCCACATGCCTAGGTAGATACGCTGCATGTCCCAGCAAACTCTTACACATCCCAGCATATGAAAGTACGTGTGAGCTCAGCAAGCTTACCTACGACATACTTTACCTACTTAAGTACCTAGGGTAGGTAGGTACTTAGGTACTTAAGTAGGTATTTAGATAAATACGGACATGGAGTATGTATTTCTTGAAAGCCTGTGGAGCTTCACCAGTACCGTCGACGCACCGCTGGTCCACAATGTGACACCAGATTTGTCAAAGGCGCGTGTGGGTGGTGACCCCTGTCCAGTTTTTCATGATTTGCATCCACAACAGCTGGATCTAACCTGCAACTTATCGACATCCGCTTCATTCGGGTTATTTGGCCCGGTCTTTACGTGGCAGAACATTCGCCATGCCGTCGCACAAACGCGTAATATCCGGTGATGGCGGTGATGAACCGCCATCTATTTTGCATCGTATTCGCAACATGTGGCAATTCGCCAACCTTTGTCAGTGGATATACATGTTTGGCAAGGCTGCGAAGATTGATGATGCCATCGACATTGAGGTAGGTGCATATAAACGTGACAACTGTTGACACTGGGTAGTGTCTAACCAACCCTGAACTCTCGGGTTATTAGGAAATCGAAACGGATTGCTTAAAACCACAACCGACGCTGCTCTCAGATATAGCACTGGCTTTGCTTAAACTGGTGTCCACACACCGTGGACTGACGTGAGCCCTATCCGAAATATCCAAGTCATGATAAAGTCTCAGTATGCTAAATTTTCCATAAAGACCAGATGTACTGGATCACCAAATTCGAAAGCAATATCTAGCGAAAGCACCGAAACAGAACCCGTTTGGTAGCGAGATCAACCCTGTGTCTTTCAGCGGCCTAGATGTCTTTACAAAGGTAGTCAGAACTGTATCAGTCGAATTCGAGCTATTGTATTTTTCAACGTTAACAGGCAATATGAGCAGGTCAAGGTTCTTCAAAAGCTGACACAATGGACAATGGTGCACCCGGAGCGCCTTCGAGAGAAAATGGTAGAGCACAAAGATGCTGAACAGTCCAATTGGGTATTAAGCCGCGCCACTTTTTAAATTTTCATGATGTTTATTAATTTACTCTAGCGCATTGAGCCGTATGGATGGGACAAACACGACCGAGTGTATTATGTGCTGGACGACAACAGAATATACCGATTTACAGAACCACAGAGCAACGGCCCACAACTAAAACCCAGAAAGACGAAGCAGTACCGGACTGGTCGCCGAGTAAGCAAGAGACGACGCATATCATCATCTTGTGAAGACGATGTCGAGGATCTGAGCGACAGGCAATATGATTCACAGCCTCCCGAGGATGATCTTGGTGGGGGGGCTTGGGAATGCATTGCTATCACGTTGCAAGAAACCAAGTCTTTCATAGAAACATTGGCGAAAACTCGTGATGGAAATGAGAAAACATTGCGAAAACAGCTTGAAACGCATTTACTACCGATCCTTGAAAAGCAGGAGGAAGCGACGAAACGACGAGAGCTCCAGCGAGAGCGCGAGTTGCTCAACTTAGCCAAGATGGCAAACGCCAAAAGGTCGAGCCGAATTGCCGATAAGGTGCAAAAAAAGAAGAGGGATGTAGAGGAAAAGAAGGAACAGCGTCAGAGGTTAGAAGCCGAGAGAGCTGAGCACCGGGAGAAGCTTGTCCAGCTCAAACTTGAGCAAGAGCGCGATTCCCGTATGCATGCTCGCCAGCGACGTTTGAAGGAGAGAGAAGCCCGTCGCATGCGCCATGAAGAAGAGCTAGCCCAGTTGTCTGAGGATAGCAAGCATGCTCCTGAGTCCGCACGCATCTCTGAGCGACGCCTCCATGCTGAGATCCAGCGAAATCAACAAGCACTAAAGGACATTGAACAAGAAGAAGACGACTGGGTCTTTGATTGCATTTGTGGATTACATGGCCAAGTTGATGATGGGACTCACAGCGTCGCTTGTGAATCTTGTAACGTTTGGCAGCACAGCAAGTGCCTGGGGATCCCTGAAGACGAAGCAGACCAAAGCGAGTTCCGTTTTGTCTGTTCGTCGTGCAGGCGCCGAGACGATGATAAGAATGCATCACCAAAGACTATCATCAAAATCAAGGTTCGACCGTCGAAGATCATGCCGAACGCTCCAACAAGGGCGGATGCACACACGGTATCCGAAGTGAAGCATGATTCGATCATCCAGTCGGGTCAAGATCGTTCAGCGGAAAAACCATCATCTTTGGTGTTGCAGAGAGAAACCCGACCTAACGGGTTGGCAATGGTCTCTAATCAGCCGCCATCTCAAGCGACAATATCCAGACTTGGTTCTCATAGAGATGTTGAGTCCTACAAGTATTGCAATTCCTCAAACAAGGCTTCTCCCAATATTTCTGGCTCTACGGCGCTATCTGAAAGTCAATCCCTCGCTACGCATGGTTCGTCTACTGCAAAGCAGGACGTCGCCAGGAATGCACAGGCCGGAGAATTAGCTCAGCTCAGTTTGTCCATTGTGGACACAAAGGCTCCAATTGATACGGGTGAATCCCTTTCTTCAGCGCCCTATTTGGCACCAGGGGATAGCAAATATTCGGGCCTACGTCTCAATCAGACTGGTTATTCTCCTTTAACACAACAATCACCAACAATCGTCATGCCGGCCACACACACAAAGGACAATCTCGAATCATGCAAAGGGGCCGCTGAGGAAAGAAATTCATCGTCTGCACCTGATTCACTACCAGTCTCTATTACATCATTTGCAGCCACACCAGGCTTTGTATCAACACCAATAAGGCCGAACGAAGAACACGAGGCCGGCTAAATGTTACAAAATACAATGGGTATGAAAGCAAGTTGCCCCTGTTGTGATTATCCTCTGCATCTCTTAAGCACATGTTGTCAAGACCGATGTGCCTCTGCAGGGTTGCAGGCGAAACTGCTTAGCCAGGGACGGCACTAAGGAAGATCTACCAAGGCCAGATTTCGCCTTTGAGTCGGCTTTGCATTATCACAGCCCTAAATTCGCATCAAGATAGTCATCGGCCATGAAAGAAGTTGTCGTTGATGCAAGAATGCAAGCTCTAGCAAATGTCAAGATTCATCTAATGGGTGGGCTATCTTACATCTGTTTACAGAGTACTTGTCTCGACTAGTGAAAAATTCCTATATTTTCGCTTTTTACAGCGACAGGTTCTCATCATACGTGGAGCCATGTGACTCGGTTTACAATTTTAGTAGTATTGGCGCCATGAGGTGTGTCCGCTGTCTCACGAGCTATTCTGATGCTTAGTATTTGACAATAATCTGTCTCGACTCTTCATGCCTTCGAAATGAACTTTGTTATCTCAAAGACTATGTCGGAGGGCAAAGCCGGATAAATTGGGATGTTTCACATGCTCTGCGCAACTTGCGGTCAGAGGGTCTGAGTGAAGCAACTGTGACCTCATATTCTGACCACATGCTATTCGCGCAAAATATATCACGCTTTGATACTCTCCAGACCCCGATGGTTGACCCCAAACAAGGGGGCGCCTTGTCAAGGCCACTCGCTGGCACTTAGTTGGGCTGAATTGTCCGCATGGTGGTCCGTTTCATAACGCACAGCCCACAACGGTGTGTTCTTTGTGGCCGCATGCGGCAGAATTGTATTTTTGAACCTGAAATGTTTCTTCTGCATAGAACTATCGAGCAAAGGCGAGGGTGGTGTCGTTGGTATTCCGGTAACCGAAAAAGCTTGTGACGGCCAACAACACAATGTCGCAGAAGGCTGACCCGTCAGGGCTATACTTTGCTAAGTCTCTTTCCTGCTTTCAAGGGGGGTATTATATAAGATAAACGACACCTCCTCATCCTCATATTTATTTTCTTGTGCCTATCGTGTAACTTATTTACCCAGTTTATCCTACAGCTAACAACCGTTGGCAAAAACCCATTCTTTCTCACCAAGTTTGATCTAAAGCGTTGTGGCTACAAAGCCGGAAATTGTCCCAGATCCCACGCACCTATAACATACCTGCTTGGACAGAAGATTTAAACATTACGCCAATTCCATCACCTCTTGCCAACGGAAAGGTCCGAACTGCGAATCTGCTAGACACGGTTCAGAGGGTTCAAAATACCAAAAGCAGATTCTAGATTTGCCACGAACCTCGTACAACAGCAAGTACACATTCCCAACATGTAGGTCTCTTATATTCTATCTTGGGAGTGCTTTCTATTAACAGATTCCAGATACTATTTCTAGTCCAGAAAAAGGCGGCAGAGAATCGTTCGATTCTTATTCGAGCACTGTCAGCTGCAACAGGTCAGTAGCGTAAAGGTCCCAACAAGATGGTTACACTTATGCTAACTAATTGTCAGATTCACGTTAGAGGTCATCGTCTCGAGGTGCTACCAATGTCAAGTCCTCGACCTGATAACACAACAGATAGAAACAACATGCGGACCGGGAGGACTACACCAGTAGGAGTTTCTGAGCGTGCCAATCTTTCGCGTGCCTCAATAACGACCCGAAATGAATCCGCATCATCAAAGCCATTTACTACCGATTGCGAGTCATTAATCAAGACACCGTTGTCGTCACTCTCCAGGGAATACCCTAGTGACTACAATGACCTCGAATCTTTCGCAAAACGTTCGGTCGAGGAACGCCAAAGGAAAGCGAAAGAGGAAGGGAAGGTATTGAGGCCATTGAACTCGTATATGCTGTATCGAAAAGCGTACCAGCAAGTCGCTCGGCGAGTACTCAGCAATGATCAGCAGCAACTTGCCTCCAAGATTGTTGGTATATCATGGAACAAATATGAGCCGAAGGAGATAAAGGACAGATTCAAGTCTCTGGCGAAAATCGATAACCAAATGCATCGTAAAGCATTTCCCGCATATAAATACACCCCTAATCAAGCAAAGAAGCCAAAGAGCGGCGCCCTCGACTCTAAGAAACTGTCAACCTCAATCGAGCGCCGGGTATGCCGACGATTCAGTAACAAGGAAGCATATTCTCACGGAACTCCGGGAAAGAAACTTACTCGACCAAGTCATGTAGAAGCGCTAGGGCAGCATCAATCTGGTGAAGGGAACATGAACATTAAGTGGTGGACACAGGGGCCACTAAGCTTCGCAAACCCTTTGATGTACCAAGGTGGGCATCATGATCGCTATGAGCAGCCCTTCGCTGCGGACTCTAGGTATTTTGAGTCTCAATACCCCGACGTCCTCGATGATGCCTCTTTCACCCAATTACCAACTCAACAGGTACCACTGGCTGCGAACACGCATGAGCGCCTAACTGGGGACGAATGTATTGCACCGCTGTTCCTCCAGTCGTTTGAAAACATGAGCACTTCCCAGAACCCTGGTGGATATTTAGATTGGCAATCCCAAGAGACGCAGGCAGTCCATGACTTTTCTCCTATTTCGCCTGACATGAATGTTGGCCAAGCGGCCGACCATGCATATGAAGGGCAGGAGGAGTGGGCAGTTCAGCATATTGATGAACGACAGAATGCTTTTGGCTGGCATCCAAGCAGCGAACAGAGAAGCAGATGACGGCCTGGCATAATAATGAGTATTATAAATGCGCATGTATTCAATTAAAATCTGCCTTATAGAATTCTAGTTGTCCACAAGTAATTTGTGAGTAGTTGATTATTAGTAGTTCCCGTCTTTCCATAATTTGATGGTTCTGTGCTCAGCAGGCAAAGAACAGCATGCTGTATTAAATGTGAATGTGCTAACCGGCCATTTGAAGTCACTTGCACCAACCATCTCCCAACTCACAGGTGCCTAGTACCCGCCTAGGTACCTACATATGTAGACTATAATTAGTACGTCGGCGAGGTCAACTGGTGTCCGGTCCTTTCAGATCATCTAGCATTTCAACGCGTTACTGGGCACAGAGAGCCAGGAAAGATGCAATCCATGTTCGGACGCTTTTGGTTAGCGCGTTTATTAGTAAGCCATTTTATCTAGTCGAACTTGCAATGTGGGGAATTGCCGTCATGTCAAGCAAGCAAGCAAGGAGGAACGCACAAGAACAGGCCAACGGATTGCCTCGGGACACACTGAGAACCCTCTCTGATACCGGTGAAAATGTCTTGGACTTCAAGCACAGTAACTTTTGTAGGAGTATTCCTACTTATACATGCGTATGTGCCCACTAGAATATAGGCCAGGTATCTCGGCTAACTCCGCCAACCACAGTTGCTATTCAGCACAAGAGCACTCGGCCATCTCGTCGACATCGAAAGCGCAATCCCTAGCCCAGCAGCACGCAGGAAGCACACTTCCGGTTGACATCCGGGTAGAAACAATGGTGGCCACTTTGGCTGTGTGCCTTGGTATTGTGATTGGGTCGGAAAAGCTACACCCTATACGGTGGCAAGTATGGGCCGGCAAGATCGAACGGGTTGGCAAGGCAGGCTTTCTTGACGGCAACGGGCAAGTGGACAGAGATTTTCGAGGGAGCCCGTTCAGAATGTTAGAATATCGTCCCAGCTTTCTCGATATCCGCAGACAACGTCTCGCCTTTGCAAAGTGGGTGAAAGCTAGAGATACACTCTAACAAATGGCCGTGTTCGATGTTAAGGTTTGACTGAGGAGCCTGCTACATATCGTACCCTCAAAACAAGAAATTTCCTGCTGTTCTTGAAAGATGCAGGCCAGTAAGGAGGTGTCAAATACATCCTTTGATTGTGGTGTCTTGTTTGAAGTTATTTATAGTGTAACATTGTCTGCAGCTACAAGCAAGACGACTCATACCTTTCAGTTCTGCTAATCTAAACTTCATCATCTATTTTCCTAGTATCGGACGAGATGAGTTGCTATCTACGTAATGCTTTTGCTATTACAAGTCCCGGACTTCAACCAGACTTCTTTCAAAGCTGTTGTGTTCTGAGGAGCTATGCGCCTTGGTTGTTCATATTTGCACCAAGGTGCGCATTTTCATGACATAAATCTATACATAATCCCTCGTAATATCTTTCCCGATCTTATTGAGGTATTTTTATTGATATCGTTATTGGCCAGCTATAGCAATGCGAGGGAAGGAGTGTCCAAATGTCTGCTGCCTCTTGCCATTTTGTCGGAGGGCCACAATGACAATCTTTAGTCATCCGCCTTGCCTGTGAAGCTGGTCTCGTGCAAAATGACTTCCCATCACTTTATACCGTCGTGCTTCATTCAGATTATGTTGTTTGTTCCATCACCAGAGGACTCGCATCATCTTCAATTTCCTAATACTCTGTATCGCCAATCCACATAGCCTAATGGAGGCTGCAATCTGTACTACCAGGTCGCAAGTGGAGAATGACGAATCTCTTTATGCGTTACAACAGTCCCCGGAGGTCATCATGGCACTCGATGTTTGCGATGATGGGACCATGGGATGTGCTTTCTTCGACAGCATGGACGGCTCCTTGCAGTTGGCAGAAGATGTCCATCGATCGACTGTGGACGTGTCGGAGCATTTCGCAACCCTTGCCTGCCCGACATTGTTATTAGTTTCCAGCAGAGCTCCGCAGGAGTTTCTAGACCACGTTCAAAGGAGTAAGGAAAATTAAGACTGATCACCCAGTCCCCTTCTCCCCTTCCCTGCATTAACTCCATTTCGTGTCTTCTTCAAGTAGCAGTTGTTCTAACAGTTGCTAGGCGCTTTTCCTTATAAGAGCTGTGTCCAAATATTATCGTCGTCAGAGTTTTCTGTCGAGGCAGCGGTAGACAGACTGTCAAGCTGGAGAAATGATCAGTTGTCAACTGCCCAACCAAGCTCAAGAGCTCCAGTTGATGCCAGTGTCCGCCGTGATCTTCCTAATGGCGGAGATGGGAAGAGGGTAGATCGTTGTAGCATCAGCCCTGAGGAGGGTGTTGCCAACGCAAGTACTAGAGAACACAAAAATCCTGTGTCTGTAAGAAGTGACTCTAAGGTTGAACCAACTCACAGCTAACGACCGTAGCTCGGTTGCGCTGGTGCTGTCCTCACCGAGCTTCGTTACAAATGCATCTCGAGAAGCAGCCCCTCTTCTGAGCCCATATCACATCAACCCATCCCTGTAAAGACTTTTGCTTTGGCAAATTATGTCGCCCTAGGCTCAGAAACATTGCAAACCCTGCAAATCATTCAGTCTAAGATTCACCCGAACAGCCAGTATTGGGGTGGGAGAATGCAGAGTCAAGATCAAAAAGAGGGCCTCTCCATATATGGCCTTTTCCAAGGCCACAGCCACACACCTCAAGGCAGAGCTAAGCTTCGCAGGCTTATATCACGTCCAGTCTCAAACGTTTCAATAATTGAGGACCGCCAGCAGGCTATCTCTTTATTCCTTCTGCCGCGGAATGCAGATAAAACTCGACGTATTATTGGGGCCCTAGGAAAGATTCGTAATGCGAAAATCTATCTGGAGCATCTTCAAAAAGGCACTGGGTACTCTCTGACAAAACAGGCCTTCAAAGGGAGCGTTTAGGCGATGCTTCGTACATTTGTTTCTCAGGCTTTGAAACTGCGAGGTTTATTAATTGATCTGGCTGACGATAACGATCATCATTTCATTCGAGCTGTGCGTGCCACACAAAGTAAACCCTCAGGAATATCGTATGTTTCGGGAACTAGCGGCATAACTAATTCTTCAGTAGACGATTCCCAAATTTGATCAGGACTCCCTAGTGGCTATTGGCGAGCTAATTAGTCACACTGTGGACTTCGAACAATCCGAATACCGGGGTCGAACAACTGTGAGGCTGGGCCTTGACCGGAATCTCGATGAATTAAGACGACATTACGACGGCATGAATAGCTTCCTGGCAGAAATTGTTGTGTCTACTATTCAGACAGTGCCTCAATGGGCGGTTTCTTACATCAGATCATGCATTTTTCTACCGCAGCTTGGGTTCCTCATTGTTACTGATGTTGATCCAAGGACTGGGAAAGGGAAATACCGAGTGAACTGGCCTAATGAGGATCATTGGGAACTGCTTTTTGTTGCGGACGATTCAGCTTATTACAAAAATGACAATATGCATCACCTTGACGATCAGTTCGGCGATGTTTATTGCAAAATAGCAGGTAGGCCAAGAGAGTCCGAGATGTTTGCTTTACTGAAATGCCACAGATAGAGAAGTTGAGATTCTCCATGTCCTTTCCCAAGAGGTTTTAAAATCCAGCGAGTGTCTGTCGGTGGCTTCCGACGCTTGCGGTGATGTTAACGTCATTCTCGCCTTGGCCCTAACTGCAGAGAAGTATAAATGGAGTGTCCCGAAATTAACAACTAGAAGTGGCATTCTCGAAATTAAAAAGGGGCGACATCCTTTGCAAGAACTAGTTGTACCAAGCTTTGTTCCCAACGACTGTCAGCTAGGAGGTAGAGGTCACAACGACGACGATTCGTGTCAAAATCAGTCCAGGTGCATGGTTCTTACCGGCCCCAATCACTCAGGCAAGAGCGTTTTCTTGAAGCAAGTAGGGCTCATCGTATATCTCGCCCATATAGGGAGTTTTGTCCCTGCAGAAATGGCGGTAATCAGTGTCACTGACCGGATACTGACCCGTATATCAACACTGGAGAGTGTTTGCAAAGAAGAAAGTGCTTTTGCTATCGACTTAAAACAGTTGCTCAATGTGATAGAGCTGTCGACCTCGAAAAGTCTCTTGATAATCGACGAGTTTGGGAAGGGGACTAATTCAGATGACGGTGCTGGACTCCTTGCATCTTTCTTGGAGCACTTATCATCACTTGCAGTCAGAGCTCCCAGAAGTCTGGTCGCAACACATATCCACGATCTGTTTGGCTGCCACCAGCTGCTTCCGACCAGTGGTTTACAAATAGCCCACATGGATGTACTCAAAGCACAGTGTGGGGAATTCAATGGTGACTACATAACATACTTATTCAAGCTTCGTGATGGATATAGCTCGGATCTCTTCGGAGGTTACTGTGCAACTTTAAACGGAGTTCCCAATTTAGTCGTTGAACGTGCTAATGTCCTATCAATGCTGCTCAGTCGCAACGAGGACATCACAGTTCCCTGCGCCAGACTTTCACCGGAAGAAGAGTTAAAGCTGCATTCTGCTGAGATCGTTGCGCGGAAATTTCTAGAGGGCTTTCACACCTTGGTCAGCGAAGAGAATTGTCTATTGCAGGATGCTCGACATATGTTGCAAAATATACTATCCACATAGATGAATTCGAGTTGAAATGATACATCTGCTATCCTTTGCAGGGTCTCAGACGCTCGACAAGGAGAAATGTTACGTGGGTAGGGTCCTCAAGATTTACAACACAGGGAAACCAGCGGTCGCACGCACTAGATCTTTCAAGGAGGCATACTTTGAATGCCACGTGTAGCAGATATCTACTGGAGCTTTCTTCTTTATGACCGAGGATGATGTTCTGTAACTGAAATTTGAGTGACAGCTAGCCAATACACGGTACGGAAGCTTTGGGGCGTATCCCATGCACAGCGTGCATTCTACCACAGAAGAAAAGGCCCGTTGTCCCCGCCATTGTATGTTTTGTTGCTGTTGGATTGGCGATGAACACGCATGTTGATATCTAGGCCTGCTGGTTCTTCGAATGCATCTGGTGTCCTCGTCTTCCACCCGCTTATGCCACTGTTGAAGGTCATGTCAAATTTCTCAATATGTAGCAAGTCTCTAATCAGCAATGAGAAAGAGAAGCTCTGCTGATAAGCGACTTATAGCTTTAAGCTCACTCATTCGCTACCAGGACATCGTCTTGTATGGATGGCTCTGTTTCTGACACCTCTCAGCGTAGCAATTTCTGTCTAGGCTTAGAAAGACCACAGATGATGTGGAAGGCTAAGGCATCACATGCTTTTGTGTCATGACGAGCCATCTCTGTTAGTCACCTGTCCGAGATATGACGCAATCTTGACCGAGTACTCTTTTTGCTTTCCCTGACAATCGTAAGCGTCTCGCATCTCTAATGTATGCCGGTCTAAGCAAAAGTTTGTTCCATGCTTGAAGGTGTCTAGAGAATATAATTCACCTTGGAATAAAATCGCAGCGGGTAGTTGAGAGTCGCAGGCAAATTTGGCCATTATCATCAGCTTTTCAGCTGCTAGACGAATAGAAAGAGAGCAGCAAGAGATCCTACTATAGCAGCCACAAAAAGTGGCGCAGCTGAGTTTTTCTTCCCTGTCTCTGAACTTTGACTAAAGGACTCGCATTTGGTTGCCTGGGCATTCGAGCATGCTTGACTGCTAAGGCTTGCGCAGATTGATGTAGCGGAAGCGCCCAAATTTCTCCCTTCCCCGTTAACAGTTGTGCCTCCTCCTCCTGGAACATCAACAGTCACTGCATAGCCACTCCCACCCAGGTTTATCAAGCAAGCATTATAGTTTTGAGAACAAGCTTTCGTGGCAGATGCGCATGAAGCGCTATTCGGAAATGAGGTAGGAGCATATGGGAAGGAAAAATACGGATTCTGCACATAGGATGGTGTCGCAGTTGGGATGTTGCCTGGCGCAGTGGCTGGAGCTGTACCAGTACACACGGCCCTGTGTAGAGCGATTTCGTTAGCGCGTTGGTGATCTTCTTCATTTGTTCAAGGGCTACACTTACCCAGATGGACAACATGCAGCGTTATGGTTTCCATCTAGAGCGCAAAGTTGACCGTTCTGGCAGCAAACACCGTCGAAGACGGCACCAAGAGATGTCGGGCAAGGGAAAGTATTTCCTGGACATTGTGCTCTGCCGAACAATAATGGTGTACTCGCGGCGTTATACGTTGGCGACGCCTGATGGGCTGATACCTGTACTGAGGTGGTGCCTAGCAAGATGAAAGCAAGAGTTGAACTAAAACGCCCCATTGAGAGAACCAGAAGTATCGCGCTTCCCTAGATATTTGAAGACAATGATACACATCAGGGAAACCTCAGAAAATGGCGCCGTGAGTGTAAAATTCCACCGGCCTGGGCGAGAGCCAAGTATGAACGTTGTAAAGGGTTCTGAAGCCTTTTGGATATTCGGTCAATTCTGTTTCACGGTTTCGTGGCAGCGACCTAGATTAGTGGAGCATGATGTCACCTAACTGGTTGGCTCGGCAACCAATCATGTCAAAGTCACTTCTGCCTCAATTTCGGACCGGACAACTCATCCTGCAGGCAAAACGTATTGTAGCATTGTTTATATTGGCCGCTGCCGTATTTGATTGCACGTTATGTACATGACTAATCCCGCCATATCCCTTTTTTTGACTTTACATCAATGACCACGGACATGGTTCAGGATGAGCCTAAGCCGATTTAATGCCGTCGTGCTTGCCTCCAGAGATTCCTGGGTCTGGGTATATTGCTGCAGCTCCTCCTTCGCCTCTGTTGCGAGAGGTCCTAGATCCCCCCATACCTCGTCAGTATAGGAGGAAAGTACATCATTCCAGTGTCTTAACCAGGTGCTTCGGGCAAGCCCTGCGTCTGATGTGCCCATGTAGCTGTCCACATCCCTCCCGCAACCTTCAACTCCTACCACAAAGGCTGGGCTAAAGTTGAGGAGTCGGTCCCAAAACGGCCAGGAGCTCCCAGATCCGAATAAAGCGGCTTGTAGCCTGGCTACCTCGAATGGTGACATCTCCTCTGGTGCCTCAGAAATTGGTAAATCCCCGGTTTCTGGCTGTGAGAGGAACTCCACCACATCAGAGCCGTCCAAGGCTTCTTGCTCCATTACAGATTTATCTTTCCTAGGTGCGTCCAAGACATCAGTTGTGTATAAGTTGGGTTTCGGTGTTTCCCCAGCTGCGAATGCCTCAAATTCATTTGATGTCCCTTGTAAGTCACGGTCCGATCTAAACGAGTGTTGAGCCATATTAGCAGAAGCCTGTCTATTTCTCTGTTGCTCCGTTCCGGAAATCGATTGGTGTGTCGTAAGGCATGCTGATGCGCTCGATTCCCCCCCTCCCTTTTGGCTTGACGGGAAGTTCGGTATGCACTTGTCGCTTATTGTACTATGAATGATAGCTCTACCAGATGACTGAAGCCTGTCGATGATCGAAACTGTATTTTTCCCCTTTCCCTTGTCATTGGACAAATTGGAAGTATTGCCATTCGCACTGGTACCATGTTCTTCCAGCCAGCCGTCCGAAGGTTGGTGTTGGGAATGCACCTCTCCCTCCATTGGCATATTTTCCCCATCATCAGCCATGTCTAGTGTGGTTTGGGTGTAGAATCCGATTTCGTGTGATTGTTTGATCAAGGTCCTTTCTTTTGCGGTACATATGTTGTGTAGTATTCGCTGTGTGTGGAACTGTCGGCCTTCTCCGACACAGATGGGAAGTGTAGGTAGATTAAGTGCCACTTCGTGACAGATTCCGCCGAACCTCAAAACCCGCGGACGAGGCTTAGTGGTAGGCGCGGGCAGGTGTAAAAGAAGCCGGGCCCCACTTATGGGAAATCGGTCTCACATGCTCGGCACAAGCGCCAAGTATTTAGTGGGCAAGCAGCCACAGCTTCGACAACCACGCACGCCAGAGATATGTGTGTGCGGGAAGTCGTCGCTCACAATGTATCGTCATGTTATTCTAGTAGCGTGAGTGATCAACTCATACACCGTGATGTATTTGCAGATGGAGAATTAGATCAACCTACGGCTGCATTTCGGCCACACAAGAGCTCTCGAATCAGTGTTCCCTGTTTTCTCTTTTCCACAACGAGCTTCTCTTTATGTCAAAATCTTTGAACTACTACTTGGAGAGCCATGATCATATCTATTTGGGGCCATGTATACCTATTCTTTGCTAGATGTGATCCCTTACCTTCCTACGCATCCCCTATATATACCGAAACCTCCGATAAGTTCAAAGTCGTCTCTGACGTAGCAGGATTGCTTGCGTGCGGTTTAGATGGTGAGGTGAAGCTCAGAAGTTTCGAATACAAGGCGCTTAACATTTGCGTTGATTCAACCAGGGATTTGTCTGGTTGACGTACGTAGATGTCCATTTTATCATACCATTGACCTCATCATAATTCTAATCGCAAGAGCCTACCTATATTGCCGGTCAGAGTAAACAAAACACTAGGAAGGCTTCTTCATATCTCCTAGTGTGATTTTATCTGTATTGATGAATTCTTTTAGACCTGGAAGTTCTCAACCTAGTAACTTTAAGTAATAGAACGTTTGCATGCACGCAGTACCGTAATGACGCCTGTGTATGTCGCAGGCACATATCCACAAGAGGCACCTACTTACATAGACTAGATGGCTACTTACCTACTTAGAGGCAGGCATAAGTTCTTGTCGTTGATGCTCCGAGGTTACAGGTTCATCCTCAAGGTGCCTTGCGAGGACATACAAGTCAACTGGTACCTACCTTGGTACCTAAGGTAGTTCACGAGGTGGGGTTAGGCCCCAAACATGCCTAGCAGCAGTTGCGCACTCTACTTACTTAAGTAAAGTACTTAAGTACTCTGTGACACAACATTGAAACCGAGACAATACAATAATGCCCCGCCTCTTCAGCTCTCCGCACTAGATCCATTGGAACAGAAAAGAGCTGAAGTCGCCTCCGGAGAGTTGAAGAAGAGCGGAATTGGTACTTATTAATTATCCAGTACTTAGCCTAACACCAAATTGAGAACAGCAGCCATATGCTGAGGCACATACTAGGTACTTAGACCTAGGTATCGTTAAGTACACTTAAGTACTTAAGTAGGTAGGTATTTTCGCAGTAGGGGGAATGTAGACTACTTAAGTACGTAGTACGGACTACCTTAGGTAGACGTACCTACTAGTAACCCAATTACGAGCGGGATGGATTAAGTACTTAAACCTAGGTACTTAGGTAAGTACTCAGGTAGCGCAACAGTGCCAGACAAGGCCGTAATTACCAGCGACGCCATAACAATAGTTGAGTTTGATCAAATGTCAATCATCCCATCTAAATTATCTCGTGTGATCATCCCTAGAAGCATGTTTTAGATAATTGTCACTATTTTTGCTTCGCAACACTTTCTCAGGATTCTGATCGCCGCGGTAGCAACCCCAACTTGCTCTCTTTTGTGATCTGCCTACCTCTACTAGGTACTTACTTAAGTACTCAGGCAAAGTAGCTAAGCCAGTTTGGCCTTTGACCATTGACCTCTGTAGGAGCACCACCTTGGCCCGCAGCCAGGAGCGAGCTGTTGTGGGAGCTGCCCTCAGGCCCACTACCGCCGCCACCCACGGTCGTCAAACGACATCATCCACCGCCCGCCTTCTTTCGCCGCATTGATTATCAACAGGACTGGCCCGCGTGCCACGAATACAGACTCATCATCTCAGGCGACCGCCATCTGCCTCACCATCCACGACCGTCGCACGATCCTGGGACGCCTAGACAGTCTCCACGACGCATTTTGCTGTCGCCGTCACCATACCGCTTGGTCTCACCAGCCTGCCACAATTTTGACCCCAATCATCTTCGCTGCCGTTGCCACTTCCAGCAAAGATGGTGGACAGCGAAGTGAATTCTCCTACGTGGAAGTTCACACAGTATGTTACTTTCAATAGTGGTAGATAAAGCGCATACTGACCAAATCACTTCAGATGCTTCGGCGATAAAGGTGACGTTGAGGATATAACTGAAGGTGAGCAAGCTCTGCCGTGAGCGATCTATGCTGTTCCTAGCTTTTCTATCCGCTAACACTCGTCTCACCGCCTATCAGCTGATATAATATCTACTGTCGAGTTTGATCATACTGGAAATTACCTTGCCACGGGCGACAAAGGCGGTCGAGTGGTCTTATTCGAGCGGAACGAAACGGTATGGAATGCCCAAGAGGCTTAATTTCTCCTTCTTTGGCTCAAAACATAGATCCTACTGTATCCATTGACACAAGTTCTCAGAAGAAATCCTGCGAGTACAAGTTCCACACCGAGTTTCAATCACACGAGCCAGAGTTTGACTATCTGAAGTCTCTCGAGATCGAGGAGAAGATAAATAAAATAAAATGGTGTCGCCGTCAAAACGCGTCTCACTATCTTCTGTCCACAAATGACAAGACTATCAAGCTTTGGAAAGTATTTGAGAAGTCACTCAAGGTTGTAGCGGAGAATAATCTCTCGCATGACCTTACACCCGGTAGCGTGGCTGGCGGAGGTGTCTCGCGTCCGATGGCCACTACTCAGCACTTCCGAAACGCAGCAGACCTAAAGTTGCCGCGCCTAACACACCACGATACTGTTGTTGCTGCGGTCCCCCGACGCACGTATGCGAACGCTCATGCCTACCATATCAACAGCATATCAGTCAACAGCGATGGAGAAACGTTTATTAGCAGCGATGATCTGCGGATCAACCTTTGGAATCTCAATATACAAGACCAAAGCTTCAACATTGTTGATATTAAACCTGCTAATATGGAAGAGCTCACCGAAGTTATCACGGCCGCCGAGTTTCACCCGCAGAGCTGTAACTGGTTTATGTATGCCAGTTCCAAAGGCACCATCAAATTAGCCGATATGCGGGAGAGTGCATTGTGTGATCAACACGCCAAACGTAAGAATTTGACCACTCCACGTCCACCAGCCATTCGGAATCATTGAGCTAACCACCCATAGTCTTTGAACAGGAGGAAGACCCTTCATCCAGGTCATTCTTTTCAGAGATTATCTCATCTATTTCAGACGTCCGCTTTTCTTATGACGGCCGGTATATCTTGTCACGCGACTATCTCACCGTGAAAATTTGGGATATCAACATGGAACGTCAGCCCGTCAAGACAATACCTATTCACGAACACTTAAGGCCGAGACTTTGCGATACGTACGAAAATGACAGCATCTTTGACAAGTTCGAGGTAGTATTCTCAGGTGACGCGAAGAATGTCATGACAGGAAGTTACAACAACAATTTCATGATATACCCGTCAGACCCTGAAAAGGAAGTTGAAGTTGTTCTGCAGGCAGACAAGTCAGCCTTCAAGGCCAAAAAGGTTGGCGTCCCTACACCTATCAACTCCTCTACTAGCCCAACGACAAATGGGGGTAAAAAGAATGGATCTAGAGCCGGCAGTCCTGCAGGCGGTGCTCAGCGCATGAGAAAAGAAACGGACGCAGACCAGATTGATTTCAACAAGAAGATACTGCACATGAGTTGGCATCCTTTCGAAGACAGCATCGCTATTGCAGCAACGAACAATGTATGACAACATTCCTTTCGCCCTTTTGTTGATTCCGAATGCTAATACTTTTTTTCCTTAGCTGTTCGTATTCTCAGCCTTATAAGTGCAAATTGTAGTTTATTATGGTTGTCAGGAGTGCTGAGGTAATCCACAACGAGCCAAAAGAAAGACAATTAGAGGGTCGTCAGCATTTGAATCTAGGAACCGGGTTGGCAGGTGGCCTCCAGGGCTCAGATCAGCAACTAGGGGAGGAACGTGTAGGGGCGTTATACCATAGGTCTGGTTTGTCAGAAGTCATCATTCAGTGCAGTGCTGAATCACCGCCCAAATGCAAGCTTTGCAAATCCCTCGATGGTTCGAGGATGACATTGGGCCAAGAGGCCGTAGGCGGTCAATTTCCGCGTCGGCAACGATAAAACAAATCTTCCGGGAAGGGCTGCCTTATTGATTGTTACACAACCAGATAACATAAAGCTAAGAGACTGAGCGCCTCGGATTCCATAAGATATGACATTCTCTGTACATGTGACATACAACAGAATCTTCACTTGTCCTCGTCGGAACGTTTTATGGGCTGATGCAACTAAAGAAGACAAGAGAAAGGGCGTCTTGTTCATAAACTATTTCTCGATATGCCCCTCCAGGTTCTAGGCTCATGTTCCATACTTATTGTGTTTTTTTAATGCGAGGTAAACCCTTTCCGGCTCA